AGTAAAAGTCTTGCGAGAAAATATGTGAGAAAAAATATTTTAAGGAATCATTCAGTTCTTTTTCGCGTAAAAATTTTTCATTTGTTAACCAAGAGGTCGCCTACTTTCCAAACTGACTTGAAATGTGTGCGTAAAAAGCAGGAAAGATCTAAGGCACTGAAAACTTGTGCGAAAACTTTTAGGCTTGCGCCAAGCTTTCAAAGACACGCAACAATTTTGTGCTTCACCAGGACGCATCTGCTCGTTCAATGCAGGCGAAGCAACACTTTACAACTACAAGTGCATGCAACGAGCATAACTGCCATCGCTACTAGCAACAAACAACTGCACCTAACTGTAACTCTTTACAAAATAAGCAAGTTGCTGAAGAATCCAATGCCGAGGCAAAAGACTTTAGCCAACTTTTAACATGAAAGTCCCGACCAAATGCAATTCACCGAATTACGCCGCTTTGGCTGCCAACGCATAGCCCCAGCTTCTTCTTCAGGTTCTTCTTCAGCACGAGCTCGACTAAAGCTGACAGCCAAAAATCTAAGTCACAAGCGCCAGCAGGCTGTCCTGCTGCCTTGTACTCGTACCTAAGTGTTTCGGCTCGCGCACTTTTGCTTTGCCTTTTCTCGCCTCTTATTTTTGTTAGAAGTCGCTACTTTCTTTCTTTGTGGTTTTTGTTGTTGTTTTTTTTGTTTTTTGCTTTTGCGTGTAAACTTTTGTTTGAATTTGTTTGCAACTTTACACGCCAGCAACTTTGCACTTGCAGTAGTCTAAGACTAACAACTGCAACAATAACAACAACAGCGACAGCAATTCGATGACTATTATTGCAATGGCAAGGCATAACAATGGGCGCAAAGTAAACAACAGCAGAAGTAAAAGAAAACGACTCAATTGCAACAACTCTCACAACAATGACAACAGCAACAACACCAACAACAATATAACCAGCTTACGTAAATATGTAAGCAAGCGCGTAACAGACGCGTTAACTGTAGCGTTTTCAGCGCTGACAATAAGAACATGACAGCGAAAATTAAATTGCAATGAAATTACTTGCAGGCAACAAAATAAACGTTACAAGTTGCAACAACAACAGTATATATATAGAAAGTATATACAACCCTCGTTATGCTGATGCACACGGCGTTTAAGGTCCTATGAATAATAACTTGTAGCAATCTAACCGCAATAATGGGCGAGACCACGCCCATTAGTTAGCTAAAAGTAACAAGAGTTTAACTGTATGCATTTTCTTTGATTATTCCGTTAAAATCTATTGTTATCGATAGAGTTTTATGCCAAAATTAAAGAGACTGTAATTATACCAGTTTGGACTTAAACACATATTTTGGTTAGCGAAAACTCATAAAGTTCAATGATAAAAATTTTATTGTAGAATTCTATAATTTAGATTATTTATAATAAATTTTCTTAATTACAATTAACTTTCGTTTTCATTCCATGAATTGTATTTGTTCCGCAAGTTTTCTCTAGATACTATATGTAAGGCTACTAAAGGCTCTGTGCTTTATAAAAACCATAAAGTATTTAAAATTATCCAAATTTCAGAAGTGTCAATTAGCTCTGTGAAGCTGTCAACTTAGTAGGATAGATAGTATACAAACCTGAAACATTTTCAGTGCTGGAAGGTCGCAACAGTTTATAGCCGACTTGAAAAGTTTTAGATGTGACGCTTCTAAGAACTTTATCCAACAAATAGAAGAATATTCGAATAAGCAAAAATTCGCTTATAAAACTTTAACAAAGCTGATCAGGACTGATTTGACAACCCAAAAGTTAGACAGATTTTACTTTTTCAACTTTATCTCTGATATCCTGTACTTCTTGGATGAGATAAAAGTGAAAACCGTTGGCTCCTTTACGACTCAAAGCGTTTAACGTACTCCACCTGATCGTTGCTCGGTGAGCTGCGAATTAATATGCCAACAGTGCTGAACAAACCCCACTGCAGGAATAATTCCAAACTTTCGAGAGTAACGTTAAACCTGTTCATCATTTATAAACGACGAATTTTGGAATAACAAAATCAGTAATCAACTAAGCACTTGAGACCCTTCGTTCCACCTAGGAACTAGGAAAAATATACCATATATATATATAAATATTATATGCACCTATTAAACAACTTTCAAGACTTACTACACTGAAATCGCCTATTGAGGCTTTAGCAATATATAAAGGGTGCTCCAAGTAGAGACCTTATTTTAAAATACTTTTATTAAAATAGATAACAGTATTAACATTTCAAGTTGTTCTAGATTATGGTGACAGCTTCTGTCTCTATATCTATTTATTATCGCCAAGCCAAATCGCTACTGTATGGCATCTCAGTACCAAACTTCGAGATAGCCAATTTCCATTACCATCAAGTAGCAGCTGTGGCCCAGACTATGTGATAGGACGCATAAGAAATTTCATGCAAGTCTTCAGTCTTCAATCGCAAACTCGTTTATAAAGCCATGAGAACCACATACTCTATTATAAGCCCAAACCGGAATTAAGCAGACATAGTCTGCGTTCAAATAAGGTAAAAATTGCTGTCAAAAAACGCGCTATTCAGATCCCAAAACGATGATAACTTCGTAGTTTTTAACTTTTACGACGATATAGTGCTGAGTTCCGTCAAGTTTTCTCTCGGAAAAGCTTTCAGTAACAAAATAGCATATTGCGTTTAGAGAGCCGCTATAATGAGCAACCACTTAAGTAAGCTTCTTCACTACTTCTCTACTTTATATTCTTTTAAATGCTACTACCGGTTATCAGTTCTCAAGTGTATTCTTTGGATCTCACAAAATGATTGTCATGTATAATTTCGCTACAATTTTAGGGCAAAATTGAGTTCTTCTATCTAACTTTAATGCGAGCTCAACTACCTGCGATCCATAAACTGGCATACTAACATCGAGTTACACATTAAACTAGCGCGTCTATAATGGTAATTCATGTTTAATATAATATTATATATGCGAAGAGTTAAAATTATTCTCTTGGAATTTTCTAGTAATGCCAAAAGTAGTTTATGATAAAGCAAAACTGTTGGTTCTCAGTTATTAAAACTGCAGTACAAAGTAATCCGTGTTTAATTTCGCGATCACTTGTTAAGTGTGTATTTTACTTATTTCACGTTTTCCCATAATACTGTAGTTAATGAACTTAAGCACTTCTTGTTGTACGCTTAAGCCGATGTAAACCATTCGCGCTTATTGTAAACACTATAATATTGCTGAACGTCCTTTTTTATTATTATTGTTGCAGCTGCTTACTATCTCTTCTGTTCTGTTTCCTGATTTTGTTGTTTTTTGTCTAACGCCATAGCTCCAACACACACAGACACACAGTCACGTGTATGCAACACCACATATGCACTTTTATTTTGATTTCTATTTACATTGTTTATTTACTGGAGTAATTTTTCAATTTCTTCATTCAATATTGTTTTCATTGTGAGTTGTTTGATTTTCGCAATTTTGCTTCTTCGTTTTTCCTCTGCTGTCCTCCTTTATTTTTTTTTCTTCGAATTTCAATTTGTAATTTTTCTTGCGCGTTGAACTATTGTGTGGCATTATTTGCTTTTAAGAGAAAATTGCAATTTCAAGCTACTGCTATGGGTTACACATACATAAATATGTACGTGTGTGGGTATGTGTGTGTGGAAATGTGTGAGTGCTAAGTGAAAATGGCAGATAATGCCAGAACGCGAGTTGGTTCTTAGAAAACTTTTGTGTTGTAGATGGTTTGTGGCTGTGTGTGCAATAAACATACAGTATAACTGTAAATGTAACGGTTTTTACGCAATAACAACGAAATTACGCTAATGTACAGACCTATTTATAAATAGAATGTTCAATGAAATCCTTTTGCAGGAAATTAAATGTATGGAATTTTTCTAGTAACGCTAGTAACTGATTTTATTGCGAAAAAAATATTAAATATAGATTTTTCGATTTGCCAAAAAAAATTAAAAATTAAAAAAAAAATTTGCCAGTTCCCGCTTTAAATAGAATTTTTGTTAAAAATATGACTTTAGCGCCACCTATTGAGAATTCATAATTCCTATACATACCAGCATTTACAGAACGAAAAAGCAAATAAACAAACATTAATTTTTATATATTCAATTTCTATTTAAAGCTTAAATATATTTAAATTTAGTTTTTAATTTAAGCAGTCCAAAAGATAATGACTGGTTCAAAGCTAATTCGACATAATACCTGTGTCTCAAAGTACAATTCTGCAAAAATTGTACTACAGCTTTATCAGACACCCAGGATTTGTTTTTACCTAAAGAAGTGTCTTTTTAATTATTTGAGGGTTGATCTTACAACTTACTCTCCCTTTAGGAAATAGTAAATTTCTTTCCTTGAACAATAACACATACAATAACAATAACGGTAATTTTTAGTAACATAATCAAATAAGTCAAGGCTTTAAGTCGCGAAGTGGTATGATCAAAAGTTGTACCGAACTCCATTTCTATTTCTGGCACCAATGACTTGGATTATTTAATCGAATCTAGACAAAGTTATGAGAACAACGTTTGTAGTAGAAATGCAAATCAGGTAAAATATTTCCAGCAATCGAGAATATTTCCAACAATGCTGGGTATGTAACATGGCAAGGTTAAGAAGCATATACCAAGGAAGTCAGAAGTTTAAATATATCTAAAGATTACTGAAGAAGTTATAGTGTTGAAAATATAAAAAGGCTTTCACTAAACATAAGCGCAGGTACGCTAGTCCCCATAAACGAAAATATTAAACAACGAATTTCAACACGAGTCTACTAAGCTAGGTTAATTTGGAGCTTATAGGATATGAGAGCACCTATCATGCATAGCTATCTAACTAACATAGACTCGAAAACGTAAAGTATATATAAAATGTCAAAGCAAATATAAGCTATAAGGTAAACCTAGAAATTTGGTGAAATTTTTGTAGATATGTTGAAAATTTTCAATTTCTTTTCGATTTATTCACCTAACTCACCTCACTTTAAACGTCTAGGCTTCCCAAGTGAATTCTGCAAATGAAACGAAGAGAAAATAAAACATTATTATATATTTTTATATTTTTACATCTTATTATACTATATATTAACATTATAAAACTAATTACAATATGTTGCCGAATATTGCTTCGTTATTTCAAAAAGCGAGCGAGTATCGAGTAGAGTAGTTGATTAACACGAACGTAAACAATTTTACACTCGGTTAATTGAATTTTTCTCACGGCTACTTTTCTGCTTTTATGTACAACAGGAATCAATTGCGAGGAAAACGTCGATGAATGCATGTCGAATCCGTGTCAAAATGGTGGACATTGTCGTGACCGTAACAATGGCTACACCTGCACCTGTCAGCCGGGCTACTTGGGCATCAATTGTGAAATCGATGTGGCTGTCTGCGAGACGGGTAAGTACGAGCGATGCCAATCGGGCGCACGTGCATGTCAAAAAATATAAAATTCAATTTTATTAGCAAACCAAAACTCATACACACATACACCTGCACTCTTTACATGCAATGAAACCTTGCGACCAATACACCAACTAATGTCCGCTTCACTCTCAATCAACACTGCCACTCATTCACCATGCTCATACACAATCTCTGTCACATTGCAGGCACCGGCGCGCGTTGCCAGAATGGCGGCGAATGTATTGAAGGACCTGGCTTAGAGTTCTCCTGCGAATGTACTGCCGGCTGGCATGGACGCATCTGTCAGGAAGAGATCAACGAGTGCGAATCGGCACCGTGTCAGAATGGCGGTGTGTGTGTGGATAAACTGGCATCGTATGTGTGCGCCTGTCCGATGGGCTATACGGGGAACAATTGCGAAGAGGAGATACTCATTTGTGCGGACAATCCATGTCAGAACAATGCGCTCTGCCTGATGGAGGAGGGCATACCGACGTGCTATTGTGTGCCCGACTATCATGGTGAAAAGTGCGAGTATCAGTATGATGAGTGCCAATTGGGACCGCGTTGTATGAACGGTGGTGTTTGTATTGACGGTGTTGACACGTTTTCATGTTCATGTCCACCGCTGTTGACGGGCATGCTCTGCGAGTGTCTAATGATTGGCGAAGATTCGTTAGATTGCAATTATACGGTGAGCATATCAACAATGCCACCGACAACAATAATACGACCAATTACACCGACGGCTGCTGCGACCGTGACGACGACAACGATAGCGGAAGTGACACCGCATGTATCTGCCGCACCGGTGGTAACAACAACAACAGCAGCGCCAAGTGGCGCAGTATCAGTGTCCACCTCCGCAGAAACCGAAGAAACTGAGGAGGAGGCTGGTGCGAGTGTTGGCGCAGAGAAAGCTAAACCACCACCTGAAACGATCCCTACAGCCGGCAGCGCTACTTCCATTTCATCGGAGGAAAAACCACACACCACGGAGTCATCACGTTCGTACACCGCTGAGTCGGGTAGTAGCGTTGAGTCGTCTTACTCTTCTGAAGGCAGTGCGTCGATTGAAGGCGGTACATCCGACGAGTATACGACACCCTCGCACATAGATGCTAGTAGCGCTGAAGAAGGTGTGCCCACGACAGCCAAAACGACAATAAGTGCCGCGGGCTCAGATTATACTCCTGGCTCATCTGCAGTTTCGAAAAGCGCGGAATCTGATGAAGGTCCAGCCATCACTTATTCCACACGTCCACCATTCAAGCACTATATTACAACTATTGAGACCACATTTTCAATTGATTACTCTACTGCAAGACCCACCTCTTTTCGGCCAACGCCTGCGATATTCTTCCCCAGCAGCACAGTGCATATATTACCAGACTTATCTGGCAAACACATTCCCACCGAGTACCCTGAGTATCCGGACCATGATGTGACATCGCCACATCGTATAACCACCACAGTCGCACCATTCTTCACAGAATACCCAGAAGTTGCAGTCACCACACGTTACAAAGACTTCACCAGCAAAGACTTGAGTATGATAACAACCGGCCGACCAACAACCTATACCGCAACACCACCATCATTGACACCCACCATTGTGCATATTGGCAGCACTTTGCACCCCCAGCTCGGTGGCGAAATTGCACCGTCAACAGTGACACCGGCAACCGCGGAACGACCAGACGCTCACCATCATCATCATCATCATCACCACCATCATCACAGCACACATGCGCCGGCAACTGGTGTTGAGGAATATACACAACCGCCACAAACCACACAGACGCACATCTATCCGCACGTACCGACGCATACCACCGAGCATACGCACTACCACACCACACATCGACATCATTATGAAGGTGCACCTACAACTGTGCCAGCGCCATTGCCAACGACTGCAGATGTTACCACAACACCACCACCACTATATACCGTCGATTTGGTTAGCCACACCACAACGCCACGCCCTCCTGTAACGCCAACAGTGTTGGCTCCGATACCAACAACTCTTGCGCCCGAACCAGAATCTGCGGAGACTACACAACCACCGTCACCACAACCAACCATACCGCCAACAGAACCATCAATACCCGCAGCGCCATTGCCAGTAACAACGCTGCCTCCACCACCAGCACCGCCGTCAATGGCAACACCAACCGTAGTGGCCACATATCCGCCACCGACGGAGCTAGCGCCTGCTCCTGGTACACCCGCACCAGCATACACCACTTTATCACCGGCGCCAACCACCTCCGTACCGATCTACAGCACCTATGCACCGCCAAGCAGCAAACCCGGTACCACGACAATAGCCAGCAGCGAGGAAGTGGAGAGCGCCAATACGGTGGCCACGGGCGTTGAAACGGGCATAGCACGCGGCGGCGCTGGTGGCATTGATAATACCACCGAAGTGGATTGCATAAAAATGGGCTGCTATAATGGCGGCACTTGTGTCACGACATCCGAGGGTTCACGGGTAAGTAACTGAAAGCAGCATATGCGTCTGTATAATTAATAGCCTAAAGCACATTAACGGTATGTTGAAGCGATAAACGCACATTACAGGCGGCAAATGCGTCAGGTTATTACTCTGAAAGTTAAGGGCTTAGCGCAAATAGGGAAAAGGTATGAAGCTCTCGCGCGGCTTATAGCACATGCTTAATGCTTGTAGGTAGGTATTTGCTGCTCCCCTTAGTAAATATTTTAATTGAACCAACTTCGCATACAACAAAATCAAAACTAAGTTAAATGCATTAGCATTTATCATCAACGATCGACCATTGATAAGGTTGTTTATATATATATATGGATAACTCATTCTGAAGCTTCAATCCGTCGGTCATCCGGCCTTTTATTTTTATAAATGGAATTATCTGTCATCTTTCCAACTCATAGCAGGGTATGTCTTCATAAAATGCCGAGTTTTCAATAGTGTTTCCACAAGCTCTTAGAATGTGTACGATAAATTACTAATAAAAGTGTATGAGTCATTTAGTTTAGAGTTTCAACCTCACAGATAAAAAAATGTCTTTTATAATACCATAGACACTGAAAGTTTTAAAAGAAGTAGAGAGACTACTCCTGTGGGCTCTTTTAGAGCTCACATACTGACGAAGAATATGTGGAAAGGAGAAAAAAAGAAAAATGAGCTTTTTCACGTATGGGTCCAAGCTAGGAGGGCAGGTTGAAGAGGGACTGTTCTGTAAGGATCTCTTCATCAAGTTTAGCTTTGCATTACCGAACTAATATAGTGTCTTTCAGACAGAAATGGCTGCTATTAAAGTAGCGGTGGACTTACTACTCCGCAGAGCAGCTTCTTTTGGAAAGCTGTGCATTCATTCCGACAACATAGCGGTAATACTAGCGTGAAGCTCGCATACTGTGCGCTAAAATTTAGTCAAGGAGTGTCTAACCTCAACTCGTTTGGGTACCAGGTCATAGCAGAATCGCTGAAAACTGTATAGCCGAAGAGCCAGCAAGACGGAACACACTTGGCCTGCTCACATCGGAATAGGAACAAATTGGAACCCCGTTGTTATTTTGCGTTGAAGTACTGGACTTATGAACCTCGCGCGACTGCGAGATCCTTCTGACCTAGAGTGATCGTAGGAGCTCTACTGAACTAGTTGTCCCTAGAAAATTTCTTAGCAATCGTGATAGTTCTTACTGGATATTGTCTAATAAGTATTCATGCTATAAAACTAGACATCCAGTCGGATATAAACTGTCAAAGTTGTATGAAAGAAGGTGAGGTGTAAACATTCCGGCACTTTCTCTTCCATTGTTCAGCATTTGCAAGATTTGCAAGAGGTTGAAACAGCTCGTTGGTCATACCTTCGGCAAACCAGATACACACGAAACTGACAACAAATTTGTGATCGACACAAAACGCTTCATCGATTTATAATGATATTTATGATTAATTTTATAAGAGTTTTAGGTACGACATCATGCCGGCTATAAACAGTTTCAGCGAGATCTGCATTACAATCACCTCATAACCTAACCTAACATAATCTAATTAGCAATGAAATACTCTTCACTTAAAAAACAATTTTTCTCATTAACATTTCATTGGCATTACACTATTGGCAATTTTTTTCATAACTGGTGGTTCCAAGCTATCCACAAAAACTTCGAAAACTCACGTATAACTTAGTATATAGTATACATATAATATATTTATAAAGCTAGGTAAGTAATTTTTGCAAAACATATTGTAGTATATGTGTGTATGTGCCAACACTGCTACCAAATAAACATAATCGGCATCTATTTCTTATAAGCCCGCCTAAGCCAAATAAGGCGATTTCTGTCCTTCCTGTTAACTTTACGCCTTATATATCGGCTGAATATGTGTGATATCTAAATCTAATGAAATCAAGTAGATTTCTTAACCGCAGTGTTACTTAGAGCAAAGAAGCGAGTAAGATCACTAAAAATTCTCCCACCCTACTATACCGACTATGATGATTTTCGTTTGTCTGCTTCATACATATGGTTTTTGCGCATTAATTATGCCCTATATAGAATTTCATAACTCTGCTAATTAATTTAATATAAATTATATAATAATATTTCA